AATCAAACAGATACAAGCAAGGACAACTAAAATGGGAGCAAAAACAATTCAGTAATTTGACTAATCATGCAGATTATCTATGTGGTTGCTGGAAGTCAAAAATGGTTTGGTGACACATAGTTAATCAATTGTCTAAACAAGCCACTACAGTATTACTTTTCCCATTTACAAGGCTGACTGTCTCATTTCCCATTTAACAGATTATGGTAAAAATGATTTACTGGTAAATGATATTAAGACCTTAAATATGGACAGCCTAAACCAGAAAACGGCAATAAAATCAATGCAATTTTCTTCTGATATTGCAGTTTGGGACATGTATTAGCAGTGCCCCAAACCCCTAAATGATTAATATTGTGGGAAAAGAGTTGGGGGTTCCCAAACAACTGTTAAACTTTATGTATAACTGAAAAATAGCATTTAGATAGATATGAGCAACCTACAAGTAATTTAAAACAAAAACCTGGAACATCTTGTTTTAATAAAGAAACCCTATGTTATTATCTTAAAATGTGATTAACACAACCAAAGATTCTGGGAATTATTAGATACACCACCAAAGTACAGGTAGTCCTCGACTTACGACCACAATTGAGCAAAAAAAAATTCTGTTGCTAAGCAAAACAATTGTTAAATGAGTTTTGGCCCTTTTTTATAAACTTATTACAGTTTTTTAAGTGAATTTGGCTTCCCTGTTGACTTTGCTTCTTGTCAAAAGGTTGCAAAAGGTGATCACATGACCCCAGACATTGCACTCTCATAAATACTGCCAATTGTGAAGTGGTCAAATTTGGATCATACAAACATAAGGATACTGCAATGGCTATGTCACTTTTATCAGTGTAACTTCAAATGGTCACTAAACAAGTGCTTGTAATTTGAAGACTACCTGTATGTTGTACAGATTGGGTTTCTGTATGTTAGAAATATAATATTTTGAAAGAGACAGCACTTGTACATTTTGCCCTTGTTTTCTTGTGCCATTATTTTGGTTTAATATTCACCAAGTTGCTGAGAAAACAAATATTAAAGATATGAATGTGAAGCTAAATTACATTTGAAAACTCATTTATGGAAATTTAGCTTTCCTGTGCATGGGATACAACTAAAAATATTGTTTTATTATTTCACACTTGACATAAATCTCTGGATGAAATATGGGTAGTCCTTGACTTACAACAGTTCATTTAGTGGCCATTCAAAGTAACAATGGAAAAATGGGACTTATGACCATTTTTCACAGTTACTACTGTGTTTCTCCAACAATATAGCCTCCCCCAATAGGAAGTCCAGCATGTTTTATAGGCATAAAATGAAATTAAGCCCCTCTCCCCAAATTAAGGCCCATATTAAAACATGCAAAATGGGGGGAAATGGCGGGGGGCTTGCTGTTAGGAGCGCCCTGCGGGCAGCCATGCCTCGCCACCAACCTCCCTACTGTCAACCAACTACTTTTGCTGCACACCCAGATATGGTGCTGCCTGAGTTGACCTCGGCGTTGGAGCAACGCCGTGGCGTTTGGCGCAGCCACGCGGCATTTGGCGCAGCCATGCGGCATTTGGCACAGCCACGCGGAGCCGGCCAGGGCTCCTCCCTGCAACCGGAGCCCGGCGGAGACACTCGACAGGATGAGGGGAGGGCCCGGCAGGGAGGCGCTCACTGCCTTGGCCAGAGCTCCGCTGCCGGGCAGGAGGTCCCGCCTGTCAGCTGTGCTGGGCGCCCCAGGTGAAGCTCTTCACGCTCTGCCCAGCGCCAGGCAGGGATGGCGGCTGGGTGCTTCTTCCGGGGTGGGCTGATCCTGCGCTGCGGCCCCGGGAGATTCACCTCCCCATGTAGGGTTGGGCTGCCCTCTCGGAGGCTTTGTCGTAGTAGGGCGTCGTTTTTAAAAGAATGGGCTTTGCCTTCGAACGATGCCCGGGAAGGCGGTGACAGGAGCACCTCAAGCCGAGTGTCTCCGCCAGGCTCCAGTTGCAGGGAGGAGCCCTGGCCAGCCCCGCGTGGCTGCACCAAAAGCCATGTGGCTGCGCCAAATGCTGCGGCGATGTTCCAAACACTGTGGCGGCACAGGGAGAAAGGGAAGCAACAGTGGCGGAAGGTCTCCCGGTACGAAGTGCTCCACCAACGCCGAGGTCAACATCCAAGCCATTGCCTCCTCCCTGCCCGAGGATGCAAGGGGGGGGGAATTAAGTCACCCCCGAAAAGATGGCCTAGCTGTTTTTTTGGGGCTCAAAAAAAAAAAAAAGACCCGGCCTTATTATATGAGAAACACGGTACCTTTGCAGCATCCCAAGGTCATGTGATCACTTTTTGTGACCTTCTCACAAGCAAAGGCATTTGGGAAGCTAGATTCGCTTAACAACCTGGTTACTAAATTATCAAGTTATATCTGTGGCAAGAAAGGTCGTAAAATGGGGAAAAACTCATTTAATAAATGTCTTGCTTTAACAACAGGAATTTTGGGCTCAATTGTGGTCTTAAGGGTGCAATTCAAGGTGCTGGTTGTCACCTTTAAAGCCCTTCATGGCTTGGGACCAGGTTATCTGAGGGATCATCTCTTGCCAGTCACATTTACCCGACCCTTAGGAGTGAAGAGGCAGGGAACGTTGCAGGTCCCACCCCTGAGGGAGATACACTTGGGGGGACCCAGAAGAAGGGCCTTCTCCGTGGTTGCTCCCTCTCTCTGGAACATCGTTCCCCCAGAGATTAGAATGGCCCCCTCTCTAATACTCTTCCGGAAGGCACTGAAGACCTGGTTCTGTCTTCGGGCCTGGGGAACCCAGAAAGGGATGGAGCCCATCAAATGGCTCGTGTGATCTGCTGTCGCCGGGGGTGGGGGTGGGAGTTGGGGAGTGATTTTTTATTTTATTTTTTTCTAGATTTTGTTCTATTGTACTTTTATTAATTTGATTCTTTTTGTTAGTTTTTATTAGGTTTTTTTAAAAATATGGTTTTACATTCTGTAAGCCGCCTCGAGTTGCCATGGGCGAATAGACGGCAATATAAATTCAATCGATCAATAAGTCAAGGACTACCTGTATGTGTTCATTCTCTACCTATGAATTAGACCAGAGGTGTCAAACTCGTGGCCCGGAGGCCGGATGCGTCACGTTCTGGCCCCGCCCCTTCCCGGTTTAGCAAAGGGGGAAAAAGTGCCGATATGTCACGCGACAACACAAGTTTGACACCCCTGAACTAGACTGAAGACAGTCATCCAACAGTTCTTTATGTGATTGAATTTTAATTTAAGAATTGACCTTTTCATTTTATATTTAGGTACATTTAGGTTTTTCTCTTATTAGTTTATTTTTATTTATGTTTTTTTCCTATTTTGTTGTATGGTGTTATTTTCCTTTTTACATGTTAAATCATGAACATATTAAAAAAGCAAATAAAAACGAAAAAGCGAATTTGTTTTTTTAAAAATGACAAACTACAAAATCAAAAAATATCTGATGAGAAATCCCATTCAGATGAAAGTACTGCTCTTTCATGTGAAGCAAGCTGTGCTGCCTGAAGGGACCAGATGACTGCAAAGAAATATAATCCTTCTACCACCATCCTGTCAGAACCTACCCTTCCATCTCTCTACCGCCCAGCCTTAACGGTCAATCCCTATCCACCCTCTCACCCACCTGCCATCAGAACTGATGGAGCTTCTTGGATGAGAAGTGAAACATTTTCTTCTTCTTCTTCCTCAAAGAAAAAAAAAAACAGTCCAGAAAAAAAAAGCACCTTTGAGACAACTATTACCTGGATGACTGACAATCTCTACAGATAGCCTTACCTGTTGCTATCCCCACAAAAATGTACAAATGCTCCTCTTAGGTGGACCTACTTCGACATTCATGACTTGTGTTTGGTTAGTTAGGGCTATTAAGTCAGGCCCAACCCTGGTGATTATATAGACAAACACCCTCTGCAATTCCTCCAAGGACATCCCAATTATCTCCCTGATCCCATCCATCCATTACATCCGCTGCCTTCTCCTTCCCCTTCCCCTTCCCTGAATTTTGAGACAAGGAGAGCTGTTTTTCTTAGTCTATCATCCCCCAAATTGCATGCCCCAAATATGTGAATTTTTTTTTTTGCTGAGTAACAACTCAAGGAAACAACACCAATTTTGCCTTTCTTCCCATCCATGACAGTCTTAGCAAATGACCTCTAATCTGTATTTTATTTCACTCTCTCTCTCTCTCAATACCCAACTATAAAAGGTTTTCAAAATTCACCCACCTATATAGTCCCTCATTATTATTATTTTTTGCTGCTCTCCCTAAAGCAAGGGCCTTCAAACTTGGCAAGTTTAAGACTTGTGGACTTCAACTCCCAGAATTCCCGAGCTAACATGACTGGAGGAGGAATTCTGGGAGTTGAAGTCCATAAGTCTTAAAGCTGTCAAGTTTGAAGACCCCTGCCCTAAAGTGAGCCCAACATCCAAACGCTCCTCCCCTCTCCTCATGCATTTAAAAACGTAATCTAAATGCACATTTCAATCCCACTCTGGATAGAAAAGAGGAAGGTGCCTGGATGGATCACTGGAAGTACACCTATACTACCTTCTTGGACAAAAGAAGCAGACAGGCTAGTGCTTAAAGGGCCAGGGTTACATTCTTACACAGGTTTGTATAGAAATTGTTCCACTGGAATCTATGAGCA